ACTTTATATAATAATTTACGTTAGCACAAGGAATAGTTTCGTTTGAACCGCGTTACAGACATTATTAGGCGACAACAGTGTAATCTATAGCTATCGTATGTTATATTGAGGTGTGTTTACTATCAACAAAAATATAAGTCATAGCTTATAGCTAGCCTATAGTACGTAAATGACCTGCCGCCTATCCTGAAACTAAACAACACCTAATTCATATTATATTCGGAATAATTCTCGTGGCGCATCCCTATGCATCTGCGAAATTATTAGCTGGCATTAAATTGAATTATTGAAAGTTGAAATTTTGATTTAATTGAGTTTCCGAACTTTATTCCCCACAAATTCCTATTTGCATTTGTTGCCCTGCAAAAATTTAACAGTTGCAAAATTTAATTCAGGCTTCGCTTGGCGACACGGCCTTGAAGGCACAGACAGAGTCTTGAATTCACGTCAACTTTTTTCTTATACATAACAGTGTCGGATATCGGAGATCGTCGCACCTCGGCCCATGCAATCACTGGCAATGAAAAGCATCAACTGCAAGTTTTCTTGAACCAAGCCTACTTATCAAAGATAATAAAAATCCAGCTTGTCGATATAAAAATTGTCCGTATACATATATTAATTAATTAATAAATCATCTCTGTAACGTAATCATAGGAAATTACCTTCCAGCGCACCACTAGCAGAAGTTTGGAGATCAAAGGTTGCACGAGGGATAACGAATTAGCTCTGGTGTAAGTATATAGAGCTGACAAATAACCGTTAACTAAGCCTCTGTTGTTGAGAAATAAGTTTGTTCTTAATAATAGTTACCTTCCTCAACGGCTGGCCCTTAACGGAGGGACTGAAGCATAACTCTAACTATAAAGACATCAACCTTTTTTTGAAAATCTCGATATCACCAAGCTCTTTTACAGGGTCATTAGACTTGGTCAACATCCGAGTACTATCTCATTTTGGGCTAATATCGTTTAGGTCGAGCAATTTTACAAGAGCTTTAGCATCGACAAGATAAAGGCGTTGTAGTGCTATGCATGTATATTTGGTCAATTCACTGAAGGGTTAGATGGAACTGAATCCTTACTGAAGACTTTCGCCGTTCTATGGTACGTCCAATGGTAAAATTTCCGACTGTGCTATTGTTTTACGATCCATATTTAAAGAAAAAACAGTCCTTGGCCTCCTACAAGTTTAGCCCTTAAGTTTGTGGCTTTTATGAAAATATATTAACTACATCTATTTAGGTAGAAAGCGTTAAATTATACGATTGCTATGAGTTTTTTAACTCTCATTCCGATAGTTACCGATTGCCCCTAGCGTACGATTTTTTTCTAGCTTTCAATTTGAAAATTCGATTTAAGCGCTGTTATTTCTTTAGATGCAAAACTTTAATCTCAATTTTTCGTTATGCCCGGTTGTATTCTGTTGTAAGCAATGCCAGGCTCGGCACGCCTATGGAAAAGTTTGCCCTATCTTTATTCCGTTTTGTCTTTGCCCGTGTGGCGAGAGCTGATGTACCAGTATGTGGCCGTCAATTGTATATTCGTTTAGTCAGTAGTTCAGCCTATAATTATTTGCGACATGCTTTCACGCCAGTAATAGCTAGTCGGATCTTTAACTACTACATATTGAATAAACACTGTTTTTTGTATGCTGTGGGGGCCATGGAAGGAAACCACGCAGACTTATAATTATGTTAAGTTCAACTTTTAGTTGAGGTTTAGCAGTATAATGTTTTACTAGCGTAAACATAACTTAGTTTTCTAATCAGGCCTAATTATGCCCCACGTCTTACAAGGAATTTCGGGTGACCGGTACGAAGTAGTCTTAGCCCTTGCAAAGGAACGTGCAGATTCTTCAACGAGGCTAAAAGGATTTCATATTAAAAACGTGCGTGGTTGGAGCCAATGTACGTTACAATTTTATTACATTATGAAACTCGCAATCGTAGCTCTATTAGCCGAGTTTTTTTCTAGAGTTTCTGAAGCAATGTTTTAGATAAGCTTAAACGAAATATCAAAGGAAATCGAATGAAATTAGATTTTAGTCCATATTACGTAAGCTAGTATCTACAAATAGCCCTAAGGGACGTACAAAATAAGATGGGTTAACTTGGCGTGATATCTATATATGTATGTAGAAACGACCTAAGCTTAACGTTTTTAACTAAACTTGTCAACTTCCAAGCAGACGCAGTCCAGGCTACGTACAAATAAACGCAATTTTTTTAAATGTAATCTTTTTTTTCTTTTTGTAAAAGCAGGGCCAATATTATTAAAGGTCTGTCTATTGTTGCCACAACATCATGGACGCTCATGTAGATGTAAGTTGGCATCGCGGATTATTCAAATCTCCGATAAGTCCCTAGTTCAAATGCTTTAAATCATTTCATTGTTGAACTGGCTGCCCATTGCATGAGCTTCATTGCAATAACAACTATAAGTAAACAAGCTTTTCCCTCAACACGGCCATGCAATCAATTAATGATTCTAAGTAATAATTTATGACCTCTATAAATCGCTAGACTAAAAGCTTTACCGCAAATCTTCTAGCAACTTCAAAACTTAGTCAGCCTTCTATCAACTGAGTCAAGCCATGTTATGCCCGTTTTCTACTACACGTAGAGCACCCAAAAAATGGTAAAGAAATAAATAAAGTAAATAGAAATGTGTATCCCGCATAAACAGTCCTGCCACTAAGTTCAAGTGGCGTTCACTTGTCTATACGGCTACAGAGATTGAAAATGGATGACCGATGATATCACAACTGTATGCTTAAGAACAATTCAATATCAGCTGATTGTATTCCAAAATCAGTCTTCTTGGGCGGACCGCAACCGAGTCTTTTAACGTAAAAACTGTTCTCAGTTGTTTCTCAGTAATTTTTCCTTGTCAAACACATCTGTCTTTCAGAATGCTACCAATAAGCAGCACTATTCATCTTTCTATTCCGCTAACCCCCCCTTCAAGATGAACCATCGGATTTAAAAGTCGCGATACAATTATTAAGGGAATTCATTCTCAACTTATTTTTCGAGGCCACAGATTAGTCTGTAGAAGTTAATGGCATAGCCCGGCCCAGTGTTAGTTTGAGAAGTAGCAAGCCCGGTTGATTTTGGTCTATAACTGGCGGACTTAGCAGTTAGGTTAGCATGACTACTTAGTAAGATTTGTATGTGAATCCGCATGTTATATAGTTTTATACGAAAATCGCTAGGATAAGCATCCACAAGAATAAAAGTAATGGTCTGAAGCGCTAACACCAAAAAAAAAACTGACCCTTTATGGATGGGTCAGATCCGCCACGTGGAGTTCTCCTATTTCACTCTTATACTTGTACAAACGACGGACAAGCACTTCCGATCGAAGCTAAATTGACGTTTTTGCCCACGCTCGATATATTACTAAGTTGTACTTAATGAACTTATACTTAGTCGATGCTTCTAGAGGAGTAGGTGGAGAGTATACGACATCTGAATAGGACTACTGCAGTTGGGGTACGTAATATTTTGAAAAAGTTGCTCCACAAATTTTCATTGTAAACCTCTGACAGAGTAACTCACCAGTAGCTTAGTCAGCGAAGGAGATGTTAAGTTCCACTAGTTCGACTTATCATTCACCACAAGGGCGATTGGTTCACGTCAATTTTACTTTGAAAAACTTAATATTTACCTTCTTCGCTTTAAAGTTTTAAAGTGTCGCGTCAGGCACTCGTAATGTGCATTTCGCTTGTGCCACTCTCATCCAGAATAGCAATAATGCATTGATTTCTAAGAGTTATAGTACCAACAATGAAGCGAAAAAATAAACTAGATGTTTCGGACACTCGCCAATATACTCGTACCGTACACAGAGTTGGTTAAAAATGTATGTAACTGTTCCACACTATTTGATTTACTTGAGCTTGGTAGAATGGCGACGTAAAAATCCTTCGCTCTGGACAACTCGTAAGAAGATACTGAAGACCGCTTGTCTGTATACTGGTAGTGATCTTGGCTATTACGATTTTAAAGCAAACATAAACAAATCTGATAGACATTAACTGTTGTCTTTGATATTAGTGAGTGTATATCTAACAAGGAGATACTGACTATGCCAAAGCTGTCACATTAACAGGAAATACTTCTTAATGTTGTTAATTATTCATCATTCAGCCAAACCATCCATAGATAACCGCTACAATTTATACCTTTATTAAGTTCGACTGTTCCTTGCACGGCTTGCATAACTGTACAATAATATGGGTATACGAGAATGAAGTCTTATAAGGCTAATGTGCTTATCTCTCTATGTACACTTCATATTTGCATATTTTCAAGCGTCTAATTTATTTGTTGTCGACAGCCCGAATCGTGGGGGTTCTATGAGTCTGTTGAGGAAGTCTGTTTAGTTAGCGCCAAAGATAGTTCTCGTTAGCCGTTCGAAATACATTTTGGTTAACTAACAAGTTCAAACATTAAGGCCATATGTATTCCTTACCGTTGTAATTGCAATCACTTATCAAGCATTTCTAGGGCAAATAGGAAATTCATCTATAGTACTCAGAGAATGTGCGGTCCGCCCACTGGTCATTAAGGAGGATGCAGAGCTGATACAGAAGCACCGATGATGGCGAGCGTAAAGCCGTGTACTGCGTGTATACGCGTGCCTATGGCCGGGATCGAAAGCTTCTGCGAGGCACACAAATAGACTAACTAAGAGTTGGCCCTCCTCATATTGACTGGCCTTCCTTAAACCGGGTTTTATTACCCGAGCTTCCGTCACAGTGGATCCGTTAAGCGAGGCACAGTCTTCACACAAGAATTATCGAGGGACACGTTGTCCTCCTCCATCCAGAAAAGATGAAATCCATAGGAAAATAATGATAATAATATCTAGAATTGTCTATTTGGTCGTCACCCCGATTTGCTTAGTCGCGCATTTTCATTTTTTCATTATTGAAGTATATTTCAACCAGCAAATACTATCTGGAGATGGATCTGAGGAGAAAAGATAACTTACATGCCGCACTGTATCAGCTATCACTGATAATTACGATGAAACAGGATGGTAATGACGTTGGCAGACGAAAGTCCGGCGGTATTTATAGTTCTGTACAACTCAGTAGATTTATTATAAAGCCGGATACCGGCTCCTTATGTATACACAATTGTAGTTATTTGACACTTTGGAAACACTGTGCAATGAAAGGCGCTAGAAGCGACGTGTAAGGCGTTGCCGAATTACGAATATACCGGTTGGGAAATGAAGTGATTGCAGTCGTACCGTCCTCAATTTGTATTTGCCACTATTGCATTAAGAGATCCAGGAATGGTGAACTAGGTGATGATCAGACGGAACCGACGTAAGGCGAGCAGCAGCAGTAGCAGTGCGAGGAATTACAAAAAAGTGCCAATGTTCCTTTGCCTGTTTTTTGTCTATTTTTCCTTTTTCCATTCTTCTATTCCAAAAAGGACACAGCCACTCTGCTTACTTCATGCTGACAGATTCACTCACTCGCACTCCCTCACACTCGCCTCAGTTTCAACTCGTCGCTATTTCCATTTCTGCTTGCTACCCCCGAGCTGGCTCGCCTGTCTGCCTATCGAGGTACTATAGGAGAAGTATTCGAGCAACAGCGACTTGGTTCCGACAGCGTTGCCTTGAATTTTAGCTTCTTTACTTAGCGACTATGACATCTGTTGCCGCCGCCAGCTTCAGTGTGTGCTCAGGCCATACGAGCTGAAACCCCGTGTCCGCCGGTCCGAAAACCGTACATCCAGTTCGGCTGCCGTAGGCTGAGAGCCCGAGCAGCAGTCAGTCGGCCTGTGCCGCCTGCCCAGCTACCAACCACCTTTATGAAAAGGAAGGTTTGCTCTCGCCCGATCGCCTGGCTATTTTGCCGGTCGTTTCCCTACTAATCAAGTCTATACTGACGGCAGTTGTAATAGCGGCACTCCTGTCCCACACTCCTCTCATGGAGTGTCCTCTCGCGGTCGTCGCTAGTAGACGACGATCCTCTTGGAGCCCGTATAGGACGCGTAGCTCTTGAAGCGCATAACGACGACGACGACCATCACAATCACTACCAATCTGTGCTACAGTAGCAGCAGCGGAACTAGCAGCCGCTAGAGCGCACTCCCTCCTCTCTAATCTTGGTGAGAGAGGAGCCGAGCAAACAATACAGTCAGTCTGCAAGCAAGCTCTTGGCCTCGTCGTCATCGCCGTGCGCGCGCGCGCACTGAAGCACTGGGAGAGGGGCCCGGCAGGGAAAGGGACAACCGAGGATGGCTCACACTCATCCTTTCCCCATATCACACTCTATCGACTGAATCAAATGAATATCATGCAACGTTTGAAACGAACGTAGCTACGAAAACTATACCCTACTCTATTTGCATCTTGAACAAATTATCGATTCATATAGAGAAGATAGCACTATACCAGTTGACAAATTCAGTTCTTTGCGTTTAGAGCCGTTGTTGGCCGATGCGTTGTGCGCGACTTTGTCATGGTAAGGGAAATTTAACTGACTTGCTTAACTCAACATATATAATATAGAAGCTGATACGATACGATCGTCTATTTCCGACGTACCAGCTCGACCCAACTGTTTGCGCTAAGTCAAAGTTGCCGATGCGGAGAAACGGTTATTTGCAAGAATCACGGAAAACACCGTCGCCAACTTGAATTGGAGAATTGGGCTCACCAAATGTGTTTCTTTGCTTTCTGAAACTTTTTTGCGCCATCTTGTGCGCGCGACCGAGTGTGCATTTAGTGTGCGAAGTTCACACCTAAATGCTAAATGAGAACCTAACAGCTTCATTTTTCAACTATAGCAACCGTTCATACTCTGGCACGATACTACCCCGCACGCCCTACACGAAGATCTTGACGTTCGGTCTTATACGGTTCAATCGATCGACGAGTTCAAGGTGACAAAGCGCGCGAACTCAGGTACGTTTGCTGCATAGACCGCAAGGCAGCTGCAACGTTATTGCAATATCATAACGTGAGCCATGTTCTCATGCGAGGTGCACTCCTATCTGAGTGAAGTTGTGAGCAAAGCAGGCTGCCGATGACGGACATACCGAAACTCTAATGCCATTGACGATTAATCGCTTTATAAAGCTAAAAGTCCTGTGCGAACTCTGGGCAGGCCATATTATTGGACTTATGTTTTTTGTTTAACTTCTAGTACTTCTCATTGCAGAGATACGTTAAAAGAATGTCTGTGGCCAAAACTGGTTGAGTTTGACTCAGACAATATGTAATTTCAATAAGAAAGCATCAGCTGCAATTGTGACTAGGAATGCTGACTTTACTTCATGAAAAGCTTAGCGTTTAATAGACAAATTTACAAATAGTGCACCAAATGATGTCTCATTTCCTGTAAGGATTTTTAAAAAAACAAAGTCAACGGACTAAGTCTTGGAAACGGAAAAGCTAAAAGAGCGTATCTGATAAGATATTTTGACAATTACGCGTCATCTACATAAATACGTTATTAGAAGTTATAAAGAGGTACACGGGTAACCATTTGAAATAAATGGTAATTTCTTATATTTCACGCTAGTATATTGAATAAATGTATCGAATAGGCAATAATTGAGGAGTATTGGTTACAAAGGTACAATATCGAATTGAATTTTTAGATTTGTAAGTGGAGTACATTTTATTCAGTAAGAAGTGTACTGCTTACATATGCCGAATTTAACCAAATAGGACGTTGGCCCCATTTTTTTTTGCATGCGATTGTTCATAATTAATTTCCGATTCTGCTTTTCTTCCAGGAAGGAGTCCATACCGGTGTTATGATAATATTTCCAGTATCTCAATCCACCGACGCTATTGGAGTCGCGGCATGAATCAAGATTACAAAATGTTGGACAACCGGCGGCATCACAGCTTGACACAAGCAAACCAGGAGTTTGCATGACTTATTTCAGATTCTTTTTGGAGAACCTGTCTGTAGCATAGGTTCTCCTCTATTTTGAAAGTCCGGAGTAGGTTTTTCAGATAGGTTAGCTTTAAAAAATTAGTGCAAATTAATCGTGTATTTTCGATAGGAGATGTCAGGGCTAAAATCAGGTTTAAATTCGTGCCGTACTTTTAGCAAAATATGCTATAGTATGCACCAATCAATTCTGCGTATTTTATTCAGGATTAAGCAAATTTCGTTGTAATAAAATTCCTTTGAGAGGAGGTCGCTTTTTTTGTAGGAAGTGTGTTTAGAAATACGACAAAATATAGCACCGTCACATGGCAGATTCCCCAAATGTGAACCAGTTAAGTCAGAGTGGTCATCCTTATCCTATCGATGCACAACAAATTTTGTTACAAGTAAACCAGATATGCGAAAGTTACGTAAATTTTGAAATATCCTAGAAAATACATTATTGATTTGGGTTTAGTTAATGTCTAGGCATGTAATGGGTCTGTCTAACTATGATAGCTTCCGACGTGCACGTTAGTGTCTCAAAGAGAGCGCAAGGAACCTGTGTGTCCAAATGGTTAAAGGAGAAAGCCTGAACTAGGAAGTATAACTGTATGTAGGAAGTATAAGCTGATCAGTCTGGTTGGTTTAAAACAAGTCAACCTACGAAACCTCTATATTTCGAATTTATCATTTTGCCTCTCATCACCATCAGATAGGTAGATCCCTGCATGAAACGAAATCTAGCTATACCCGGATTCGCATCTAGACCACAATGTGTCGCTAAGATTAGCAGGCCTACATAACCTAAGCCGAAGCTAGCCTTTTCAGGATGAATCGACTACAGAGAACTCGTCAAAGGCTTGCAGCAGTCACAAAATTATGTTGTTAAACAATGCATATTGTTATTATGGCTAGGTGCCAGAAGACAAAGTATGCAAGAAAAAGCGGCGTTTGATGTTCCTACTGGAATCTGTTTCGCAGAAGCTAGAAAAAATGCATAAAGCTAACATTTCAATTTACGCAGCTGCAAAGCTTCAAATGTAGTGAGGTTTAGGAAACTAGGAGTCAATGTTCGAAACGCTTGTGCAGGACATTAATTTTATAGTTAGCATAAAAAAACTATGAGTGCTTACCTGCAAGTGGCATGGTGACATCATCCTTTGTCATCCAGTTCTCGGAGCTCGTTTCCACAAAACTAGATACACACCAAATGCCGTTTAACGCTGTCCTATTTCAATAGGTCTAGACTGAAAATAGATTGAAATCAATAGGTCGAATTGAAACCCGCATAGTTCGAAGCCGAATTTTGAACCCAAACATGCTCCAGTTGTTCAATCACCCCGTCGCCTTGTTTTCCTTAGCCGACTGGTGTTAACTTGTTGTCATGATATATTTCTCTCGATATGGAGTTCTAATTACCTATTTAATACATCCAGGTCATTGTGTTCTGTTGCTGTGTTATCTCGTCAACCTGTCATAGTCGTTTTTTTTCACGTTGTGTTAGATATTCTGTTAGCTCGGTTCGATTATTTATGCTTCACTAACTCAGATACTCCAATATTATTTTCTAGTTAGGGTGATGTCTTATAATAACAAGAATTCTATTCACCTTTGTTAATGATCTCGTAGTTTCAACACCATTGTGATTTCTTAGGCGCTCGTGATGATTCTGCTATCTCAAAGTTAAATTTAATTTGTCCTTTAAAAATATTATGTGAACATAAGGCCGCTTGAGACACAACTTAAACAAGCAATAGGAAAATGCCGATATTTCCTCACAAAATACGCGATGTTCCACTATATGACAGAAGACAAGCATAATTAGTTTTTCTACCTACTATGTAGGGTTCGAAAACCTAAGCCACTATTATATACTTACGTACTTCACAAATGTCCAACCTCTAATGAGAGACTTGGTATACCTCTAATGAGAAAAGTATTTTCTCCAGTTTAAAGTACTCTATGAAAAAGCTTTTCATCTCTTTTCCAGATACATCGCTGTATTCTGGAGGCTTTTTTTGCCTCAAAAAATGCATTTGAGGTTTTGGTTCGGATGGTCGGCGCGTAGATGCAAACGATAACTCATTATTGAGTGCAGGAGAAGATGTTTAATTCTACACAGCTGTATCAGGTAGTCAGGTATTCGGGCAGTTGGACCCGACATCTAATACCAGATGTCAGGAAATGGATTCGCGGCAGTCATGGAGAGCTAACATATCATTCCTGCCAAGTCTTGTCGGGTCATGGACAGTTCCAGACATATATGACAAAGATCGGCAAAACGCAAGTGGACATTTGTGTGCTCTGCGTGTCGGGCATGAAGGACGGAGTAGAACATACTCTTCTTCACTGCAAGGCACTTAAAGCGGTCAGAGACAAGCAGGTACACAGAGAAGTAGCAACAAAGGGCAGTACTAGGGAGATGGTGGATATGATAACAAAAGACAGGACGAACTGGGCCAAAGTTACGGCTTTCTTTGACGATATTATGAAAACAAAAGAACAACTAGAAAGGATGAGACGTAAGAGAATAGAGAAGAAAAAAAAAGGTAGTCAGGTATTAAGGTGCTAGATTTGTTCCGTAATTGGTATTGGTGCCCTTTATATACGCGAGATATGACGCATAAAACATGTGAGTCTTCCTTTTTGCGACCAATACAAACATTGGACTTGTGTGTTTAAATAAAAGTCTATTGAAGGTTTCTAACTGTTTCCATCCTTCTTAGCCACCCCCATGTTGGAAGTTTCTTTAAATGGTATGCAACAATTGCTAATCATGAGGCCTATAAAAGTGTGTGTGTGTGTGATTATTGAAGAATTTAAATATGAAATTTGTTTTCTCTAATATTTACTAGAGACTATACAGCAAGAATTTCATTGTAATAATCAGCACGGGAATTAGAGGTAGACGAGAAAGATGATTCAAAATGAATACTTCTCTCTACTGCACCGACTTCTATTATCAGTGTGGTGCGAAGTCAATCGAAATTAAAATGAATTATATCGGCATACTAAGGACAACTTCAGTGTATTAGTAAATAAAAATTCTTACTGATCTATGAAACAGGTACACTGGTTTTATTTGTAAGTATTCCTCAAACTTAAAATTCGTTTTTACATTGCTATATCAATTAACAGCTAAAACCTGTTTTGGTAGCATGTTCTGTTTTCGAGACTGACCTGGGTTCGCGGTCGTTTCTATCAGTTTCATAAGCTGTCATGCAGCATTTGGCATTACTCACAGAAGCCGGCTCATAACAGGGTGACGTGTCCACTTTCAAGCTTCGAATACTAACAATAGATTATTATAAGCAACCGATCATTTCACACTTTTTCACTACTCTTAACATCCATCTTGTATAAGTGCTATGCAATTTTTGAAGTTAAATACTCCTTGTTCCCAGTATGTTTAGTATAAATATAACCTAGATTGGTTCCCCTACTAAAATTCTCAATGGACTTCCAATAAATCAACGGCGTATATTTGGAAAGACACTGTTGTACAGTAAGATGTACATATTTCGTCAGTTATACTTGACCCGTTTCTGAGCACTATATACAGTAGTGTAATGACGATTTTGGATGAGCCCGTGGAGAGAAAGCGTAATTTATCCGAAGCGAAATACCTGCCTTATTTTTAATAAAAAATCTTGCTTTACCTCAAAAGTTGTGCAGGGCCTGATGGTTAGTAAGGACTGGTCTGTTTTCATCAATGAAAATCCAGTGACAACATTTTGTTTTAAGCAGTGGCCAATAGAAGTGGATGGAAGTAAAATTATAATAAACGCTAGGTCGTCACATGAACAAGTTAACCTCATTACATGGATTAGATGTTGATTATTAGATTATATAGTAGTGTAATAATTTGTTCGTCTCACATAAGATATATTACACAACACAGCACTCCAACAACTCCGTTGCCTGATAGAAACCATGTGACAATCTATAGATACTCAGTATAAGATCGGACCATTCATTCCGAATGTATTGATTAACGGCATTTGCAAACCAGTCAAGACAGAGGCATCACTCTATCATTAGCGACATTGTGGTTGCTTTAAAAAATGACGCTCTTCATTTTACAATTAATTACAAGCTCCCCCTCACAATTGAAGAAATACTGAAAATTGAATAGACATTAAACAATACAGTTGTACAGCCATAGTTTCTTTCCTTCCTAAACGCAATTACCCCAACGGCGATCTAAATCATGTGAAATGCGAACATGTTCAGAATGCTTTTATGTTGAAATAGCCAAAGTACAACTTGTTTTATTCCCTTCATGAGGTCTGAATCAATGCGCAATGTTGTTTCACCGAATAACGCCTGGAAAAGCTGCCGCACTGTATCTCTAGCATGAATTGCTGCGAACTGTATGTCAACAAAGCGTTACAGAATGGAACCGAAATGGCCACAGTTGATTGGATAGAATCCTATGCAATGCAACAATTAATGAACTATCTCCACTTAAATCTAATCTTCCCAGAATCTATCTAATCTGCGTAGTACTGCCATCCACCTACTGCTCTGCCGGATGAGCAAAGCTGAGTCAAATTTAATTTAGGTAATCAACGGCAATTTGCGAAAGCACAGTCTAAAACGATCGCATCTATAAGTAGACATTGTGCCACTGACACGATGGACTCCAACGTATAGATAGCAATAGACACCAACGCGATAGAAATCGGTTCGACGCTGCTCTTCTCGAGCGTCATAGAGTAATGCCTCTGCGAATTCTGAGGTATGTACAAAGAACATTTCAAAATATTTCTAAAAGGAGCAAAGCAGAGCACTCTGAATAAGGTTATATTACAATTGACGCCCTATATCCGTCTTTAAAGCTATTGGCGCCAATGGGACCGGCAGTGGGGGGCGCCAGCGGTAACGGGTGATCCCTTTGGTGGGGGCGGAAGCAGGAGCACAGGTTGACGTATTGAAGGAGCTCGAGTCAGCCCCTCAGCACTATGGTCGTCATCATCTTCGTCATCGCCTTGTTGAATTAAGCTAGTGTTAGTTATAGTAGCAGTGGTAGCAGGGATAACGGACACTGGCTTCGTACCTCGATCGACGTCGAGCTTAATAATGACTGGCCGCTTTGTGAGCCGCGTCACCGTCGGTGCATACGTTACAGCTGTTGAAATGGCAATGCCCCTATCAGCCCCTGAAACAGCTGTTGCATTTCGTGCAGAAACGGTAGCGGCAACAGAACCGTTAGCCAGTGGTGGGGTGATATAAACCTGCTTCTGCTGCTGTTCTTGAAACTGTTGTTCTGTTACTAATCCAATAGGATTTATTCTATCCACATCCGTGGTTGAAGCAACGACATTATTAAGTGCTGAAGCCGAATCCGTTTCGTTGTGATCCGGATCCTGCTCAGTAATGACGACAATGTGGTCCTCAGTTGTGACTCCAGCGACGAAGGATTCCGCCTCTACCTAAATACGAAGTAGAAGCCGATACATAGATTAGAACGCACTGCGTAGCTTATTTAACATTATCGGCTGAAGCTTTGTCGTAATTCCTATGAATGAGCGAAAAAAAGTGATAGTAAAAACTAACACTCACCTATATAGAAGTTTTCCTAATAATTTGTTCTTTTTTTAATCATGAAGCTAAATCCTTAGGAATATTTACTTTGCAAACTGGAAAATATGCTCTAATTTAAGCGTACCTAACTGGCCCATTTGAGTAAAAAATATACTAATGAATGATAGATTGAAACAAATTTTTTTGCAATTAATTCAGTCTTAACATTATAATTTGACTCAATTAAATTCGAAGACAGGCTCCATTGGTGCAAAGATGAGCGTCAAATTTCAGTAGAAATATTTTTGCCTAATGGGAAGCGTTTAATTATCTGTGCAATTTCATAGGAATGTAGTAAACCTTTTGGACTTTACATCCAGCCCTGTCGTTAAGTGTTGCTTCAGGTAGTTGGGTTCCGCAATGCAACGAAGTACGCTTATGGTTAGTTTCGAATCTAGGCCGTCTTACGTGTCTAAGTTTAGTAATCAAGCGTAATAGAGGTAACAGTGATGTTATAACACTGAATGAGCATCTATAGTGCAGTAGATTAGGCTCACCTCTTGTAAGTGCCTGATCGCTGTATTGGTTTCGCTATTGTGTGTAACTGTCGTCATCGTAGACCCAGAAACAGAATTCGCAGGTGTAAATGACGGATTCGATGAAACAGTCGACTCTGTACGGCGCTGTAGTCGCGGCTCCCCGGGAGGGTTCGCCATAGTCGCAGACGTAGCGCCACGTTTACGTTTAGTTTGATGGCCTGGAATGTCCACAATAGTGACTATCGTTTAATACAGTGCCATTACTGTAGATAATAAAGCAGGGTTGTACTTTCTTTAAATGAAATGAGTGTTGTACAGTAAGACTGAGACAATAATTACTGGCTCAAAACAACTGAATCACAATCGGCGCGTTTTACCTATACAGGTTAAAGACTTATTCCTGCTCAGTCTTTTTATTGTTCAAGAGCACCATTGGTGTTATATGGAGGTCTTCCGAATTCCTTAAAATTGTTAGATAAATACGATCTCGATTTTTCTGGTGAGTTTTTAAAAAAGTAACCATTTTTGTTTATTGCTTAACTTTCCCATTTTTTTTTGTCCATTATTAAATGTGATTTATCTTTTTTCTGCTATATTGTTCACGAGGCTGTCTCCAAATTTTCTATTAGAATCACAAAGTTTTACTTGGAGTTTGGGCTCCTAATTTTTCATTTTCACAGAAATTTAATAGGAATGTAACAAACATTTTGATTATTAATGGCATTTTTGACTTCGCGAACACACAGCACTTTATTTTAAAGCAGCTTTTGTAAACAGGTAAATTTATAAAAATTATTAAAAAAATAAAGATAGTCTGAACTTATCAATATTGTTTTACGATCCAAACAAAACTACAACTACAGGCTAGCAGAGCAAAGAGAGGGAGCTGATATATTGATAATTAGTAAATTAAATCAGGCACAAAATAAAGTCAAGTAATATACAAAAGCATCCATTATATTTTTGACACCTTAGTACTGACCGTTATATTTTCCATCATGAACAATGAGATGTTGTTTAAGGTTAGAGTTAGTGGTAAATCTTTTTTCACAGATGAAACACTCGAAGAGCTTAATTCCAAGATGGGTGACCTTGTGACTCTTCAAATTCCCTTTCGTCGAGCAGACTTTCCCACACTCCTCACATGGCCACGACTGTAACCATTGTTTAAACAAAGTTGGTTTTATAAATATTGATACTGTACATATGAACGCAGCCCAAGTAAGACCCATCATTTTAAAGGCAATATGCTCTAAAAACTATAAATGGAACGAAGCATGTCAAGTCAAGCTAAATATTAATATAAAATAATATTTGAGCTTCCTTAAAAGTAAAAGCAAATTGGGATCATTTTATTACTAGCAACAGTTAGCATCCTATAATGTTAGCCATATATCACATCGAAATTAATTCAACAGTTAGACTACAAGTCATTTTCCCGACTTAGAGCGTGCGTTTGTAATAAAATAAGAATGAATATTAAGGTACAAAAAATATCACAAACGTCTTGTAGAAATAATGTACTTCTCTACATAACGTTTCTAGTTGTTATCTATGAGTAAGTCTAAATAAAGGAAAGATTTTGCGAGCATAGTGTAAAAACGAGAGTAAGAAAGGATACTCGAAGATGAGTTAAATTTATACCTCGGGTGGCTCGGTGCCTGGCTCGTGCTTGACGTTTGGACAGGTCCTTTTCTGATGTCTTCGAAGATTGGTAATTAGTGAGAACGTTTTGTTGCAAAACGTACATAAATAGCGACGTACGTAGTCTTTTGGGTGAATGGTGCGTTTGTGCTGCGCAAGATTTGACGAGTTTGAGTAGACCTAAAGGATAGAGTACAAAAATTTAAACAAAAAATATACTAATCTAGTAACGAAATTAACATATATTCAATATTCTTCTGACCTGCATATTTTTTGTATACATTTAGTGTATAGGAGATACCTTATTACATATATTGCAAACGTATTGCTGCAAGCAAATGGCAGGTATCAGTGAAAGGCTAACCGCCGATGCGCCATCCACTTCCCATGTTTCTGTGCCATCGGGCTGATTTCGAACCTGGGCATTTATTGCCGATTCTGCAATTATTTCCGCTGCAAACGTGATAAACGAAAATCACCGCATAGCGGAGGTCAGTAAAGTAAAAATGATACGTTGATTTAGCAGTTATCGGATAAATTAAGTGAACATCAATTTTGGTACTTATATTAATTAAGCGCCAATTTAGACTGCTGTTCACTACAAATAAAATTGATGGGATAGAAAAGTACTTATTATAACAGGCACATTTATCACTTACGTGCCTATCGCTGTTGTATGGATGCTGTTTTATAAAAGGATTAAAACAATTCATATTTCAGCCTAATCTTAGAGATCCTTAGAAATGACAGCACCGTCTACGCCTAAATAAGCGAACAAACCACTTTCGTGTTGACTACCCGTACCAGATTAACTAGGGACTAAAAATTTATACGCAGATTGGATATATTTGAACTTTTATAAAATATAGTTCAAATCAATCTAAAAAGACAAACTCTATAACCATAATATCTTCTGTTCTGTCCAGGCGGAAATTCAATGATGACCACAAAATGATTTTAAGCTTTCAAACATAATAGATACTTTATTTAGCTAGTGTACAACCTGTCCCTTTTATACCGAGACTTTATCATTATAGAGTAAAGACAGAGCCCTTAATTTAACGTTTTGTTTCGTAAGAATACACTTTCATACTTTGTTGTATAAACCTCCATATTGTGGCCATCACTGAGATCTCTGCTCGCCCAACCGCCCAGATAATAGTCAACACACTCCATTCTTATCAACGCAATATTTACTACATGGTTACCTTCTCTGCTTAACAATCCGCAAAAATGTAACCCTATTTTTGTACTTAACTGCTTCAATTATTCACTGTACTTCATAATAGATCCGTTGACACAGGGTAGAAAATGCCTGTCATCAATAACTTTACATAGAAGGAAAGTCAGCCTCGAAAATGCACTTTGTCTATACATCGTGTTAATCGTTGATCGCATTCTATAGTAAGCGCCAGTTGCTTCTACTAAAAGAAGTGTAAACGCCTAGTTCATAGTTACTGGGCTAATTTACATTGAAAAAAAAGCTTCGGATTTAAAAGAGACTTTGACGGAACCATACAATATTTCAGAGAAGCAATGATCAAGACAACAAAAAAGAGCTTTACAAAATAGTGAGCTACTTTTGAACAATTGTAGATAGTCCATTCATTAAAATTCTTTCGATTCTTGCTTACAAAACTTCCGTTTCTCCACACCAGTGTTAGTCTCAAGGTGCGATAAAGTATAACGGAGGCAATAATGATTCACATTTGTCACAAGGTTATAACTTTCGTGGTTCCTATTGCACCTTGTCTATTACTCTATGAGCTGCCATAAAGCCTTTGTATGGCATTGGCAAGCTTATATGCCTTAAACTAGCAAAGGCTGTCTAATCGACAGCCTTTGCCGGTCGGAGCCTCACAACAACGGCTGGCCCGCTTTTCCGTTTTCTTTCTGCTGTTTTAACCCCTGTTTCAACTTCCGAAGTTTCTATTGCTGTATATTTCTCTGTACTAATTGGCCTTTCGGTTCCGACTTCATCGTCAACACATTCCACTACTCTGTCGTCTCGTAAGTCCTTCTGACTAGTTTCAGCTGTTTCCTTTTGGGTATTTTCCCTGCCCGAATTGCCACCACCGTAAATGGTACTACAGCTAGGACCTTCGTCAGGGCATTGGGCGCTCTGTTCTGCGCTTGCAGCACTGGATTGCACTCCGACATGGTAGGCTGCTTCTTTATTGTTCACTTCTACTCGGCCAGAGCCATGTCTCGTTCTTTGGCGAAGACTGATTTCATGCGGAGCGTGGCGTTTTTGCTCTTTTTGCCTTTGAACACTGTGTTTCGGGTCGTAATGGCTGCGCGTGTGTGATTTGAGATTGTTTCGTGTGACAAAATCGTTTCCACAAATGGGACAAATGAAGGGCCTTTCGCCAGTGTGCGTTCGTTGGTGATTGGCTAATTTCGTTGCATCGTTGAAACCCCGCCCGCAGCCCGGGTAGACGCAGACGTGTGGTCGCTCACCGGTATGTGTCCGGATGTGTTGTCGAAGATTTGAGTTCGTTGCAAACCGCTTCGGACAATACATACATGGATACGGTCGATCACCTGAAGAAAGATAATCTCTGTCGTGAATAGGACTCTTTTTCATTTGGAGAGATTATTTTCAGCTTGAAGAAGGATAAAGGTTCGAAAAGATTGGGTCGATAGAAGCCTTTTTGTCATTTTTATGAAACACTTTAGCAGTCGAAGGCAGGTACGCTTGCATGTCTACCACTCTTTTGTGCTTTTCCAGCTCCCGCAAAGATATTTTTAGTGCACGGTAACATTAACTCAGTAAATGATAATAAACAGTAAGTTTATTACGTTTTCAATGGCATTAAATACTCTGCTATTTTAGTCGTGAAATCCGAATTAGATACTCTATTATTTCAGTCGTAAAATCCGAATTCTTCAGTTGCTGAATGTAAAGAAGTGCTATACGAATTGTTAGCTGATGTGGGCATTGCACAAATGGTGCCCTTGATCCCAATCCTGATGAAACATTAGTGGTACATTTTTAACCCCGTTTGTGAGATACATAAAATTTATGAAGAAAATAATACTAACTATATTACTACCGAGATCGTAGGATTCCCTATCCTGCATTAAAATGGCCAGCAATATCAACAAATTTATATGCGACAAAAGGTGTAATCAAAAGCGATTAAACAGTTTTCCTGCACAGTTAGATGGAGGCAGAGTCATCGCCTACTTACCGGTGTGTGTACGATAGTGTTGCTTGAGATTAGTGGATGTAGCAAAACCCTTATTGCATTGGTTACACTGGAACGGCCGTTCATTAAAATGGAGCCGTCTATGCTGGTGAAGATTTGAAGATGTCGTAAAACCTTTGTTGCACATGGAACAGATATGTGAACGACGCGCTGCTTCCGTGGATGCACTCCCAGAGCTAGTTGCCGCTCCCGCCCCAGATGCCATGGTCGCCGAAGGTGATGCGACAGGTGAAGTTGAAGAAGTGACCACGGCGTTCGGATGCTCTCGGCGCTGATGCGCCACAAGGCCTGCCTTTGATGGAAACACCTGGATCGCAATACAAAAATGTACGTTCATGTGTTTAACAAGGGAACTGCCTAATTCTTTTTACGTTAATAAGACGAATTTAGTTATAAATAGTTGTGTGAGGAGCTAAGCAATATGGGACCACACAAGCCAAGTTAATAATTGAAATGGTACAAACCGTATTACACAGAGTGCAGCAGAACGTGTGAGCCGTAGTAGGTTGGGCCGAAGGGTCGCCAGTTGAGGGAACTGACCGTGTCAAAACTCGGCCATCAACCGTCTCAGCGTCCACTAACACCACTTGACTTCCTGTCGACAACATAACAGCCCTGAAGGTAAAGTGAGATGAACAAGAATTAACTAATCGCAATTAACTATTAGCAGATAGAAAAATACGTGTACGTGATAATTAATGCTCGATAGTAAAATTTGCGCATCAAAGCAGTCTACTCATTTGAACTCTATTTATAGGTAACTTAATTTCTCGTCACCGGAGTCGTTACAAAGAAAACTTGCGCAAAGCAAAACAGCTGCACGATCTGAAGTAACTTCATTTCAAAGCAGTCAAGTTACCATCAAACACATCCTGAGTGACCTTAAGTTGAAATAGTTAATGATAGTTATGACATCATTATTTTAACCAACCACTGTGGTCAGCATGAGCATAACCGGCAACGGCCGCGTTGTGTCGAAGTAAATTTACATGTATTATGCTTATAGTAGTCCTTTATTATTGGAAGGACTGGACTGGAGCTGAACTTTGTTACTAACCTACACCTCCCTACTAAAATACACCTAGCGTTTGATTGGATTAGGAAATCGGATCTTCTGTATTTTACAATTAATACCCTTCAATGATGTGATGATGTTGTTGGTGCTGCTGATGATCGTCATGCGAAACGACAGCTCCAGCTGTTTCGTCCTCCTGCTGCTGACCTGTCCATTCTTCAAATCCTTCAACTTCGGCCACTTCCTCGGCATTGAAAGCTACCATCTCTGGTACAACTTCTAAAAAATCAATCAAAGGTAACATAAACGTTATTTAACCTATAAAATTTATTATTATGTAGCGCGACCTTCCGAGACTAGAAAGAAAAAGCACCGCGAAAACGATACGTTCTATTTTTACCTGTGACAAGTCTATCTCTTGAAATGTAGTTAAACCCGAGTATCAGTTAATCGTTCAATGATCGTTACATCGCCGATTCGTGAAATTTAAATTGCTATGTACAGACACACGGTATACCTATTCAAAGTCTTTAGCTTTCGCAAAATAAACTGGATTTTTCTTTTGGCGGAAATAAATACCCAAAGTAATGTCGTGTTCTTCCGACTAATATAATTACGTTTTTATTTAACCATACATGCTATGTATTATATGCCGTGCTTACTATTATCGTACTAGCAACAGTAGCTGCCCCTTTTTCACTATTCCACTGAAATATAACCTATGGTATTTTTTACAAACGGGAGACGACCTGCAGTCGGCCTATTATATAGCCTGTCAATTTCTAATAGATATGGCGAGAAAAATACGAATAATTTTAAAATGGACGTACCCCTTCAAAAGCAAAATGGTGTAAATCGAATATGTATGAACAATGTTTAGCATAAGAATACCAGTTCACCAGTACACACGTAGTAGTAATATATCTATTAGAACATTATGGCATTCAATTCTCATAACGTTAAAGTTTTATCATGGTCACCCTCTAAAATCCGATTTGCTTAACAAAAATGTATATTAACCCAAGACGCAAAATTTTAAAAATAATCTACTTCTATTTCTTATAAACACCTCGCTTAAGATTATAGTTTAAGACACGTTCATTTGACTTTTTAATCTTCTATTAAAATTGGTAGTAATTAGTCTTTTGCCAAGTTATTTACTCATGTGTTCTGCTAATAATATACGCATACAATCTGCATACACATGCACATTATATACTATGGAGATAATTTCATTATGGGTGTGAGATAATAATGTACGCTAATCGCATCGTCACATGGTGTTTGATTATCGCGCTCGATACTACGTATCGGCGTGTCTCTTTGTGTATATGTCATGCAGACCTAAGAGTGCAAGTGCGTGTGTGCACATGCTATTAACTGCACCGCCTGTATAACATTTAGATCAGTACAGCACACGAATGGAGCACGGCTGGCATCATGCGTTCGGCGACCGTTGCTAAGCGCTCGACTAGCCAGCCACTCAGTCCCTTAATCGGTCTGTTGCCAACGATGACTGATTCCTGATGAATGATCCCATTGCGCCCAGCATCATGATGATCTCCACCTTATGGACGAGAAACGAGCGCCAGAACGAGCGAGCGATTGCCCACGAGCGATCGGCATTGAAATAAAATAAAGTCTGCGCTGGTTTAGCAGCGGCCATTACAAGCGAATCAATCGTAGTACACGATAATTGCAAGACCGTAGGGGTATTTAATAATCATAATGATGAACAGTCGGTTCGGTTGTCTAATAACAACAAACCTTGATCGACGTCCTCTTCATGGCCCCTTGCAGCGACCACCTCTTGTGGGTCGCCCACGGCGGACTCGTCCACGACTGACGAGGACATTACGTTGAATTTCCTCTTCGGCAATATGAATCGGTTTGAAGTACCGTACGGATGTGAAGGTGTAACAACGACAGTAGCTGATACGAAGATTTGATAGCGCCTTTACACCCCCCCAAAATCCCCGCCCGCCGATGATCAGTTACAAATCACAAATCACCAAAAATCACAGCTCACACACGAACCACCACTACTATCATCACATATAGACACATATACACAACAGCCATAGGGCCATTGCCATAACACAGCGACGGCCAACGGAGAGAATGATTTTTTACTCTTGTTTTCGACGGCGGCGGCGGCGGCGACGGCAGCACCAGCAGCAGAAACACAACGACGATGATTCTGATTATTTTTGTTGTTCATAGCAGCAGCTAGAGCACTGCTGTTCAACCTAGCGACGTTTGGTGATAATATTAAAAATAACGGCTGACAGACCTAACCGAGAGAGAAAATCAGCCCAATCACAATATCGTCTGCTCGTCGTTTTGATTCGTAAACATGGCGGAAAAATAGCTTGGCGGGAAAGTTAGCGCGAACTTTTGAACACGCTCGTACCAGGAGAGAATCAACAGCAATTCTCTTCCGTCAAATTTACGTATGAAATTAAAAGCAGATTTTGCCGTGTCGCTTCTTATTACAGTAAAATATAACTAGTTGAAATAACACCTTCTCCTCGTTCTACGAATAACTATGGCACCAAAGTAAATGCTATGCCTTTGTGGGTGTCGCTATACTGGCGAGCTGATATTTTTATTGGTGAACGAGAAAAAATATTGCATAATAATGCAAGTAGAGGCATAGTGGTCGGCGGTAGAAATATGAAAATGTCTCTTATTTTTCTAAGTCCCCGTGTGTAAAGAGCATAACTAGCATAAGTTATTTTATATACAAAATCATATATTGGCCGTAGCACCGCTTTATATGAAAGTCTCATTTGATGCGCATGATGCAAAACAATGAAGTTAATCAGATGAATAGATGGAACGCACGTCATTATCTGCACAATGTATAGGCGTAGGGAAATTTCGAAATTATACTTGCTACATGGGGGCCGGCAAATTGAGTTAGTTTACAGGATGGCAGTATAAGCATCACTCGATAATTAAGGTGGTTTTTTTCAAACAACATGACAGTCGGCAATTTATTGGCTTGCAAACGAAGGGAATGTTTTGAAAACGTGCCACATCCTCCAAACGTCCGCCTCGATGTTACCGTTCTCAAAGGCAAGAGGGATTCTAATACAAAATGAACTTGTATCTCAGTCTCAGAATATAGATGTTAGTGAAAAATGATTCAGTGGCTCTAACAGTGGAAACTGTAGGTAAACATCTAGTGTTTACTGTTTTTATGGAACAGTATGGTGGCACCTCGCTTTATGGCGCCTAAAGACTTTTTTCAATTCAACACATAAGAAGGGAGAACCTACAATGGCGGAGATAATTAAAGCTATTATTTATTTAAGCTACACTGCCAGAAATATTCTGGGCTGTTGCAGTGTTCACTCACAGTAAAGAACTTTTTCCTTCACACGAATTTTCCGGTATTCATGTTAGCCTGGTATTAAGCAGGCAGTTAATTTGACAAACGACATGTTCTGTTTAATATCTGTAACTAATCGAATGTAACGAAAGCCTTATCTTTCGTTACTTAACGGATTTTTCAAAAAAGCTATTACTGCTAAGATGTCTAGATACATCGAACAATAGGGTACAGTTCAGTGTTTATAGACACCTTAACATGAGCAATGTTGTTGCTATGTTATAAGAAACATAAATTAATAATGTCTGATAAGTAAAATAACTCTCAGCAAACCCACAACAATTAAAACTGATTTTACCCTCCAACTTATCAAATAGGTGTCTGTTAGAATCAAATACATATCATAAATATCAACGTTTATATAAACCTGTTAACAATAGTACTGTATTTACTAAATGTATGCGAATGACATGTTCAGGATTAATGGCGGTTTACAAAAATTATATATTTGTACGGATTTATTAGCTACCATAGTATACATTTATCTATTAAAATTCTGCATTGGTCGTTGGTATCGGCCTGATACCGAGACGTATTTTATAATATGATAAACAAAAGAAGGTAAGACGTCGGTGTACAGTGTGAAAAATGTCAAAATTATCTTGACCGTATATACATTGGCGGTCATATATTTAACTTAGGAAAATTTCAGTTAACTTAGATGAATCATTTTTGGTCTCTATCTAGTTATTCTGGTGGCTGTGATTTACCATTAACAGAAGTTCGTAACCGTAGAAAATGCAACTGGATTTTACATTTCGTCAACAAACGTGTGCGCATTCGATAGTACTAAACCAACGTATTATGCACGGTACGATCGTCGAAATGGATCGTGAGTCGGAGAGATGCGACCTTCTTTGTCAATACTTATATATCACCCAAACGAGTAGTAAGATACTGCTTCGGCAGTATTCGTGTATTAAAGGTATTTAATTATTTGGCCACAGTTTGCTTGGCCAAAATCACTTCTGCCACGCTTATTTAAGGTTAAATATTCAAGATACGGTAAAGTACCTCAGTGTCGTTTAGTAATTTGTGTCGTACAGCACACACTATGGGTTTTCCAAATAGCAAAAATCTTATGTACTTACGATGTGTAACGTACGTCTTCATTAATACTCTAGCGTTGGACATAAGACAGTATTAAAGGTACGAAATTCTTTTAGGGTGAGTGGTTCTGTACTACACAACGCTCGGCCTGTAATATTATTTTTCATTTTGTACCTGTCGGCTTCAGTTATTATACTCCGCCAACTCATCTCTAAAACCATTTGCATTGGAAGTTTGCGACACTTTTGATTCATCTGAAGCCGTGGATAACGGGTAAAGTTCGGGTATCCATTTCATACCGGCCAAAGTGCCTATGAGATGTGTTGACGCTTATTAAATCAGGTTCATCATTATTCTGTGATGGGATGTGGCGCTGCTAGCTTTTCTGGAATAATCACTTTCACTTGTGTCTCATCTACGTGAATTTTTACCCGCGTTTTCAAGAATCGTACGTATTTCTGCATCAAAGCTTCAGGATCTTCCAACTGCGGGTAATGTCCAATATCGTCGGGGAAAGTCTCAATGCACGGCCGAGGGATAACCTGCATGACCTCGATAAAGCATAAACATAGTAAAAATAGTTAGATTTAAATGAAAGTAATAAAAGGCTAGTTATGCGATTTCAACACAGGAATCAGACGTACTCTATGGGGCTCCAAGCCATGATCAACAACATATAATGCAAAATAACTTCCTCGCCTTTGATTATATCAGAATAAATAGGAGAGGCTGCGCAGTAGAAAAAAATAAACGAAAGCAAACAGTTCCTGCAATAATACGACCTTGTTATAATGCTCTGCGAAATACGGTGGTGGATTTACAGGATCCGCAGGACCGTAGAAAACACACAGTGGTATTTTAGCACGCTGGAGAGCATTTGTCCAGCGCGTTTCTGAAGTTTGCCGCTCATCAATATATGAAAGAAGCCTAAAAATAACCCTTATTAATATTTTTATTCGTTAAGACTGGCTTACATAAGATCAAATTAAATATCTGCCGCTAACTATGAGGCACTGTATTCGATCTCCAATAACACAAGTCAAGCTACTATATACGCCAATTAGTTTTGGGCGGAATTAGGTGTAGCTAGATTCAACGGAAGTTCTATCTGTCGCTTTTGAGCTAATTTATCGCTAGTAAATAGAATTTTCTTATACAATGAATGCATACCTGGGCCAGGCTCTGTAGCCGTTGTTGTAGCGAACAAGATACCACAGCTGTTTAATGTCGTCCGAAGTTAGTTGATTTTGCCCAAACACCTAAAATAAATTCGTCCGCATTAAGATGAGCTTTTTGATTAATATTAAAAAATTATATCAATACATTTTTACTCCTTTGTTGAACTTATTTCAGCCGAAAGAGGAGTGGATAGAAATTAAAAATGTAGGTTTCGCCAGGTATAGAGAAATATATTAAGACAATGTTTCGTTTGTTGTTGAACGTAAGAGCTATGCCACCGTGACAACAGGTAAAATAAATACAGTATACAGACCTGATTAAGAGAGTTTCCGAACAACCATCGATTAGCAAATCTGGCTATCACAGGAGCAAATAAAGGCGCTCTGAGGAGGCTCTGTGTCCAGGTAGGCCGGTGAGTTGATGGAAAAAGGCCTCCATTTAGAAGAGCTGCCGACTTTACACTATAGCTACGGGGCCGTGAGGACCTACTCTCCAGTCTGAACAAAATGTCAATGCAAGAGTATAACAGAGCGAAAGTCATTATAAATTAAATAGGTGTGCAGCGTCGGGTAAAATCGATTCAGCAGTCGCCCAATACTACCAAGCAGAAGTGACGCATCAAGTTTGAAGCAGCTTGCTGTACCTATTCGATATGGAGTAAGTTAAATCAGTCTAGTTAGAAATTAAACTAATATCACTAAACTACTAAATCCGCTTTTAATTCTCTTTGGAGAAGGAACATCGTCTTGATAATCGGTGTATTGGCCAGAATTTGGAACGTACTCTCTGGCGAGAAACTCCTGAGCGACCGTGTCACCATAATCATGGGCAAGAATATGGAATTCATGTATGCCCAGCACCGAGAGGACATGCTCAGCAATGTCTGTCTGCTCTGAAATTGAGTATGCGTGATCTCGCTGAAATAACAACATTTTCATAGAATTAGATTTTTTAGGAATTTTAAGTAACGCGGCTAAATATGTAATGCTAACTGGTGGCAACTATTCGTTTACGTCGTGACGTGATATCATACGCGTAACATATCACGGAAGTTCTCAACCGTTTGCTAAGAAAGTATCTCGAATTTTCTGGATAAATACTCTATCTAAACCTATTAAATTATCATTGTTGTACGAGGCGCTTTTTTTTTGCTTTGATTACATGTGTAATTCAATGAGATTAGGTCTATCGTCTGTTTTTAGAACATGTTTCATCGGTTTATAAGGAAGATGTATTTTTTTCTTTATTTCGTGACTTAGTTCCGACAGAAATCCATATCATTATAACGTAACATCAAGTCCAGGTTACTTTAAAACATGTATAATATATAGATACTTTCATGATCCAAAAAGTGGGCAAGCTAGTTTTTGTTTAAGTCCTATTATGCAACTTGAAGAAAGAAAAAATTGTTTCACCAGCTTTGTATTGATATATTCGCTTATTTATATACTAAACTAAGTCAAATATCGTGGTTCGTATTCCAATGCATTAAAGCGACTTGAAGAAGAAAATGAAAAACGCCATTAGCTATATCTTATTAATACAATTACAGTATTACCGGTTTATCACTGTAGCCAAATCCGAGGAAGTCGATAAGAATAACACGCTGAAACGTCTTTCTCAGACCATTAATCATCTAAAACGAACGATAAATAGGGTCAGATAAAAACACAAACGGTCACGCTTTACAATGGGAAATTGATGTGCCGATCGAGTCTACCAAATTCATGATCTTTTGATCAGGCTTTCTTTTATATCATGCTAACATATATAAACTATTTTTAATAATTAAATGTATATAAAGAAAAAAAATAAATCTTCAGTAAACGTTGGAAGGGGCTTTTTATGTCACCCCCCCCCCTCCCCCCCCCCAATATTGACGACAGCACGCGAAGTGCGGCCCAATTTTGCATGCCTTGCTTGTTTGCTAAATTTAATATATTCGGGAAAAGGTCGAAACCTGGTATTGAAGATGGGTATAGAAGATTCCATAATCTATGTGCTCTAAATGTTTATGCGAACTAACTAGCACTTCGAAATATGATTTTCTATCTATTTTTCAGTATGACGCTCCAAAAGGTTCAAAAGCTTACGAGATAGAAGTCGAAACTAGAAGTCGGAAATCCATGCAGAACAAGGAGAATTTCACTGTTGTTCACTTGCCCACTTATATCTGAAAAAAAAAAAAACAATGTCTATGCGAAATTTGGCCCCTCTTAACGACATTCGAAAATAACGGCAGACAAACTGTTTGGTGGCACGCAGCAATTTCTTTCTGATCCAAAGTGCCATAGAGCCTACCTATTTTGTGATCTAGTAAAATGAATCATCTTTGTAACCTTTATAGAAGATGTTATATTTGTTGTCAAATCGAGTTATTTTCCCATCAATAGTCTCCCATTGGTATAGCAGTGGTGACTGGGGAGGCGCGGGTTGAGCCTGGAATATTGCGAACGCGATGGCTAAGACCGCTATAGAGCCGCTTAACAGATTACCGCTAGGAAACATATTTTTATCTTAATATTTGTTGCCAATATTTGCTATCCAGTTGTTGATTTTAGTTTCCCGCTCTGAAGATGAACTTCACTTCCATTGAGATGTAGAATGCTTTAGAAGAGGACAGCGTGACACTCCGGACTGTAATAAAAGCTAAACATTAAAGAAGATTTAATGGCAACTTTTAGTTACTTAATATTCATATATTTTTCATTTGCAAGCTCGTTACATTTAATAATGGCCCAGATTACCATATGAACCTATATAATTTAACGTGTGTGAAAAGGTCATAGTATATACTTAGTACTAGATTGTCTTATGGAATATAATATATTTTGGTTCAAAGATGCTTAGTATTGCAAAAGGATTAATTAAGTAGCGTTAAGTTCTTCCTCAATAGAGCTAAGAAAATTGGAGTACAAGCTATGATATAAATGGCGTGAAAAAGTCCGCACTTCACCTTACTTAACATATTTCTTCGTCAATAAACTTTAACTGATAAATTTCGTCAATAAATTTTAGCTGATGCATATAAACACAAGCCCTTAAGCCATAATTATACCTCCAATTGAAGTATCTACAGAAAGTAGTAGGTTATATATTAAGGATTAGTCTTTAAGTTGCAAAAGGCTTTGATTTGTCTTACCGTTTTCAGGTGAATTTCCACAAAATTTGATAAGTGTAACTTATCATTGTTTTTCAGTAAGTTCTTCGTTACGTTTTCTTCCAAGTGCTTAACATGTCAAATACCTGTTGCAATATTCTGTTGTTATTGTTGCTTTGCCGTTGTTTGTAGCTCTTAAGGGATGGTTTGAACCAACCTGTTCGGACCTTCTTTCTCAAAATAAACAGACGTTTTCCTCCCTCTCTATATCCTGATGACGAGTGAAATCCGACCGGATCTCACCTAAATTTTGAAGGTTTCATGTGGACTGTCTCTTCTTTTGAGAAAAAGGTAGTTCGAATTTCACTGGCGCGTTACAGGGGTTGCTAATGTCATGTCTGCATGAGGCATAGATAGCAGAATATGAAGAGGCGATTAAATATTCGGGCACCGGTGCGTATAGAAACATACACGCATTCAAATACCAAGAGTTTTTTTTTGCATAAGTGGATTCCACCTTAGGATATAAAAAATCAGACCTAAACATTGCAGCTGATAAAAAAAATCTATAGGAATCTGTGGACAAATTCATTGAAAACAAGCTTAATGCCGTGCCGGCTTTGCTGATTTTATTCATAACTGTTGCGGTATATTCGTATGTATTATAGAAAGGTGCTATAATTGGTTCTTAACCAGAAGGTATTTTATTCCTTTTGGATAAATAAGCTAAGTCAGTCCACTTTGAAGTCAGTATCAGTCAATCTTGGGAACGCCCTGAGAACAACATTAGGACAAGTTACTCGGAACAGTCTACACAAGGGCTCATTTTCGATAGACTTAAAAGCAAATTAATTGTCGACGCTTACTATAAAATTGTGTTAGTTTTGGATAATAACTTTTAAATCGGTAGTACTCTATCTTCACGTGGAACCCCCTTATTTGTCAAAAGCTTACCTTTTCAAGAGCTTTCAACGGAGTAACACTAGACATCGTTACTCTGTGAACCTTATTAACATTTGGTCCTTACCGATAAAGTTTGTAAAAGAAAATCTGATAGAGACACTCTAACGTACTAAGTGTCTCTGTTTTCTGATCACGGTGCTTGCCTTTCACTGGTGATCAGGTGATGCAACACTAAGCACTTTCTGGTCAATAAATAGGCCTACCCCACTATCTCATTGCGCTAGTCGATGTCCGCGTAGTGCGACGCCAGCGGCATAATTACGTCCAAAAGTCTACGCTTATTTCCTACCAAAAAATAATTAATACATGATACACTTTAGTTGCTGTTACCATTTTTATTATGATGTTAGTAAAAGCTCTAGGAGTTACAATTACGCTAAGGTTGAGTTCGATCTTCACATTAGCCGGCTAATTAGGCCAGCGTCAACTACCGTTCGTTTATTTCGAGATGCCTTCTAACTAAAGACCACGCGCTTTATATTCCTTTCTGCAAGAGTCTTATTCTTCCTAAATTTCTATATTATTCCGAAGTTTGTTGACTTTATATGATAAACAAGTTGATTCTATTGAACGAGTACCGAACGGGTTTGTCGGTGAAGTCCTCTTTAAATGCGGCGTAGATAGATTTAGTATATTCCTTTAGCTTGGACTGAATTCTAAAACGTACCGTAACGCGTTTAACAGACTTCATCGATTTGATATTACACCACATTTTGTTAACAGCTGAGATAGTCGAAATAACGGCGTCAGAACTGGCTTGAACTGAAAGGCTAGATATGTTATTATGGAAGGTTGTCTGCAATAGACATTCCTAAACAATATTATTTCTATAGACGCAGAAGTGCTATTTTCTTACTAACTGCCAAAATAGTGTAAAAATATGAGTAATCTGCCTTCCTTAGTGTAATAAGGATAACTTTGACTTGGGTCCTTTTTCCTTCGGGGCCAGTTGTTAATGTAGTCCCTAGACATTAGCTACCAATATCGTTCACTGAATACAATTTACACCAACTCCTTCTATGACTTTTCGTTTGCAAGCCGAAACGGAAATTAGGCAGGTCGTTTTCTACAATTTTCAGACTGAGTAGTACATCACACGTTTTAGAGGTGAGGGTATTCAGTTTTAATAATCACGGCTTTTTGTGTACACCTAGAAAGTAAACAAAAAAATGTCACGCTTTTCTATTAAATAATAGCAAAAAAATTATTGTTCGAAGCTTAAGGTTAATTTTTCTAGACGCACTTATCTTCGTTCACTCTAAATTGGCTAAAGCTGTCTTGTGTATGCGCACAGAATAATTTGGCTATCACTATCAGCTCTCAACTAATCTATATATTTTTTCAGCGTCGTTATGAACACGAAATATTTTTTTGTTCTGTTTATTGGTTTTTTTTTTATCGATGCAACTGGGTCCCACACAAATGCTTGTTGAACATCTTGTCTGCCCGAGTATTTGCCGATGTATCAGACCCTTCTAGTATCATCAGGCGCGAATCACGACTTTTTTGAAAAATTGCTCAGTTTCGGGCTTAGGCATATCTTCTGAAGCTATTAGTTTGTCTTGTTTCCTGGCGATGTGGAACGATCACGTCTTATTGTCCGTAGCAATTCCGCGTAGAATTTTACCATTGTGGCTGCGCCATGTTCGATACCGGACGCGATGTTGAGGGCCAATGGAAGGAAATGTCGTCTTGTGCACTTCACCCAGTCTATGGCACATTCAGGCTTCTAGTTCTAAAGAAATTTTATATATTTAAGGTGCCTTACATTAGTCTGGTATTTATTTTTATTTCACCAACCGGAACCCTCGTCGACTTCGGATAGCCTATTGTGGTCGAAGTATAGTCTCCAGATACAAGATCCCACCTGAATATTTAAAGAACCCCTTCGAAAAGTCCTTTCGGTGATAGAATCCTTGCCACACATGGCACAAGTATCCCGGCCTGCGTCGCCGGCTTTGTAACATTCAAAATGATCTTTTGTCGGCGTGTCGCTGTAGTTGACCTGTACTTGCTTTCGGTGCCCTCTTCAAACTTTAATGCGATACATTTTTATGGTAGGTATATAAGCTATGATTTCAGACAGATCCTGCTGGACCTATCTGTGGTTCTTTCGAACAGACCTATTAAACAGCATGGTAACGATATGTCGTAGAAACGATTCGTTAACGCTAAAATTTGTGCTAACAATAGCTGCACGTTCATGATGAACATGTTAAACGCATGAGTCACTTGCTTACCTATTGGCATTGTGTCGGTCTGTTCTAGTCGCATTGCTCTTTTCGATCGATTGCTTTTTACATTATAAAATTTATATTCAGTATTTACTTGAGACATTTGCTAACATGCGGCCGTGCCAAGGTGCTCAAACCGTTTTTTCTGCGTTATCAGTATATCTAACTAATCCGCTTTTTAGTGGTCTTTTGTTTTGTCTTTCTGAACTCTGTACGCAACGCCACGGTTGATGTTTTCTATATCTTCCTATATATATATATATATATATATAAAATAATCTGCCCATTAAATATATTGTATATATTATGTCAAGAGAGTTAAATTGAATAAGTAAGTTCCGCTATCTTGCACACAACGTCTCTTATCAAAGCTAGAATTGGCTAGCGCATTGCAAGTCAAGCTAATTAAAATCAAATATTATACTTCACAATGATACTATAGCTGGTCGATTTAAACAGGAAACAACACTATCGCAGAAAATAATTTTAAATCTGGTATCCAATAATGGCAACATCAAGAGTAGGATCAACTTAATTAATAAGGAAATGAGGATTAGAAAACGCCATCAGAGCATATCATACATTTTTGATCGGAAACATATACATAGTCAGATACAATTGAATGCGGAATATGTCATATAGTATCGCAGGTTTTATCTGAGCCCTTAGGTCATCGGTGCCCTGTTTGAACTTTCTTTCGGGCGTAGAGTGCTGAATTGGGCCAAATTTAGTAAGTTGCTTGTCTTTTTCAAGAGAATGATTGTAAAGAGGTTGCCTATCGCTGCAAATCCCACAAAAGAGGAAGGCGCTACTACACCGAGCAACAGTCAACTCCAGTGAACCAGTTTCGCTGAGAGAAAGTGTGGAAACACCATGTAAAGCAGCCAGCTCTCTGCCGGGTGTTAGAGTGCACCTGTCGGAGTCCGATATCAGTCGTACACAACTAAGCGAAGTTTCTACTTGCGTGCACCAAGGGCCTGTTATCGCTTATAACCGATCATAGAATTGGGTTACAATTGTACTTCGTGCGCGTGTTCATTAAAACGTTTCTAAAATGTGCCCTTTTCCCTCAAAATTACTCCGAGGCCAGTTTCAGATGAAGCTCTTTTTCCCAGTGCTCCTCCTAGTTCCCGATTGCACTCACCGCAAAGAAGGCTTTGCATATTTAAGAACAACATCTTTATTTCACGCGAGCTGTACACTTTGGCAGAGCGTCAACCAACGATTCCTGTATGTTTTTTCGGCGAGGGACCTCCTTCTACGGTATATTCTCACATGGCAAAACTTTCCTGCGTACAGTTACGCTGTTCTATCTGGTTCATCCAGTGCTCATAATTTTACCACATGCCTTAATCCCCGAGCACTCATACACACATAAGGTAACAAGTTCCTATGGCAAACCTGATCAAAACAGATAGCCATCACCACCCCCACCACTACATATTGTGTCCAGAGAGAAGGAGGTCGAATACTTCTTCTTTCACAGGGGAAAAGAAAAGGCAGGCTCCCGACCTGCTTCGGGATTCGTTTTTCGGGGACGCTTTACAGCCAAAATGACAGGGGTGCGGGGGATACGGTGGAGCGATTCCTCCCCTGTGAGGGAAAGAGGAACGCATAGCATAGCAGTACTCTGTTGCGTCCACTACTCCCTATATTCCTACCACAGAAAAGCGGGTCGAAACTGGGGCTAAAACCTGTTGCAACGACGCATCCGATGTATTGGCTTGTTCAGCAAAGAAGCTAGTCTATATTAGATCAAGTACTGCTCAGTTCGGATGTTGGGCGCTATTTATTGGTGTGGTATCACGGCTACCTTATGTTCGTTGTAGATGCGACCTATAGGTAAATTTCAACAGAGCTTCTAATAGCGTAGAAGAAACAGGGCGTTGCCATATACGAATCACTACGTTTCCGTCCGTCTGATGGCGTAGTAATCAACATATTACAGCAGCTCACGCGTGAAGTTGATAGGGGACGTATGAAAATGATGCTAGCGCTACTACTGTTCCCAGCAATAGTAATAGCGGCGGTGGCGATGGTTACGCAGGTGCTGGCGCGGTCAGGGGAGGGTGAAGCAAAGGAGTGGAAGCAATTGCAACTGTCAATGGTCAATGTGAAATGAAGTGAATCGTTTCCGTTCGGTAGTTTCTGGACTAGGGCTTGGCAAACAACGTGGTATGGTAGAGGGAGCAACGCATCTATACAGCATCACTGGCGGAAAAATTCGAATTTTTGATTACTGTGGTACGCTGAATGTTTACATTGACTTGATTAACCCCGACCCAGCATAATCAACTGGTAGGTGTTAAAAGCAGCAAAACCAGTAGTAGGTCTAAAGTTCAACAACGTTATAAAACGCCACTGCGTCGCTGATTTACAGACTGATGAAAAATTTCGAGAAAAATTTAGGTTGTGTTCGACACTCGAATCTTTACTTTGCCAAAGCTAGCCGGATCTAGAAAACTTCATAAATTAATTTAGAAAATAGCGATTTGAGGAACACACAAACTGATCAAACCAGCGTTAGAAGCTTAGTGGAGCTCCGTTGAGTTTGTCTGCTAATTTAAGGACGCATAATGGTCTAGGTACGAATTAGGGTGTGGACCTACTTCGTTTGATGTTGGGGGTCGGCTCGCGTAACGGCCTAAGTACCCCACGTACATACATGCATGTATATATATGGTGATGCTGACTTCGAACAAGGTTGCCAAAGGGCTGTAATATTCCACATTGTTTTAATTCGTTTTCTTATGGTTGGACTGCACAAAATGC